ATCGATCGATGATGATAATGGAAAGTCACGAGATAAGGGATGGCAGTATCCTATAGCAAAGTGCTGCCCGTGCGAACTTCTTTATTAATCTTTCCTCGTCTCAGACTCACGCCTGGCGACGTAATTTCGTCAGGACAGCTGACAAATATCGATATTAACCGCCATCGTCGGCGACCATTAAGGTTATCCTCGTATTAAGCGTCCTTACTGTTGGACGTCGTCGTTTCACTTTTCCGACAGAGAGTTGTCTTGTTTTATGAAATGTCAAGTACATTAAAGGTATATTAAATTACGAACAAGTACGCAATAAAGATTTCATAACTGCTATTCTTGGGGAAACTTTCCGCAACATCCTGTCTTTCGCGAGGGAAAGGACTGTCTCTAAGAAGAACTGTCTCCGTTGAGAAGTACTTAAAAAACTTTCGACCACCGCGCCGCGCCGCGCCGTTTAATAAAAATTAATTAGCTTGAATTCTGCGCGCGCCGGATGGGTATCTATGAACTTTTCGCGATAGATCTACCGTGCTTCGTTCATAATTGCATTAAACTTTCTCTGATAGTTCTCTCGTTTATTATCTCAACCCATAAAGTCATTTAAAGACCATTTTAACCCGTTCCATTCTCAAAATATTTCGAAATATAGAAGTTTCTCGGTAAAAGCAACAACGAGATAGAGAATGCTCTATACCGACGATGAACGCCGTAGATATCAATTTTACTCTTCTTTGCCGTAGCTGTGGTTGCACCTCAAGTGGACGAACGAAACGGAGTTTAAGTTAAAATGCTTGCGGGAGAAAGAGTATCAGAATATTTCGATGTAATTCTGCAGCGTGCAATTGTCGAGATCGTTGCAGTCGTAAGTTCGATGTCAAATGAGTCTGTTGTGAATGCGAGCCGTAAATGCGCTACACTCGAGAATAGAACGACTCAAACAAGATTATCTGTCAGAATTGCGTCTGCGAAAGCATGATTCTTCGCACAATAGCTCTGTCAAATGAACGACCTCGACGGCTAAGCGATGGGGATCTCTCGCAAGTGTATCGCGGCGCAAGAGACTCTTTATTATTCCGATGCTGCGCGGCTTGACTCCTCCATCTTCGAACTTTCCTTCCTTCTGTCTACTTCTTCTTCCCGTCGATCCGAGCACCTCGCCCGCTAACGAGACACATCAAACCTCGGGGTTAAACTTTCCTCGCGAAATTCCGTCGGCCGTGATTAAGGCTCGGCGGGCTCGGAATCGCGACGCTCTGGAAAGAGGGACACGCGATAAGAAAATTTAATTCTTCATTAAGCACCGCCAGTAACTTCGCCGGACAGTTAATTGTCGTCCATTCGTAATAATTGGGTGAGTGCGACGATAGAAATTGTAACGATGAGGTGTCCAATGGAAGAACCCATTAAAATCGATCAACGCAATGGAGTCGTTGGATTGAAATAAAATTCATAATTATCGGCTTCTACTCATCGGATTCATCAATTTGCGTTGATTTCTCTCGATTAATCTTAATTGCCGATGTACCGCGAGCGAAGACTAGTTTATTATTAATATTTCGCGACCATACTCTTTGACAGAGCTTCGAATTATCTTCGATACGGAAAATATATATCAAACCTATTATTCGATCAACAAGTGAACAATCGTGCTTTCTCCAGCGCGCGCGCGCGCGCGCTTCATTCATTTCGCTTACATTGAATTTGCGGTACCGTGCCAATAATTGTATCCCATGGTAATCGCTGCGACAATACACTTGTTCGTTACGAATGAACGGATAAGTGGGAAGTCCCCGGCCGTCATTGAGCGTTAAAGAAAAATGTTTCTCCAGACATCTCTCTTGCGAAAAAGAATAAGCTCGCTCCATTAGAAGCTGGTGCGCACGCGACAAACCACGTTGCGTTTGTTATCTTTAGGTTTTACTGGTTTTCCCTTTGTCTCGTTGGACGCACTGATCCTGATACGGTAGAACGTCACCGAGGCTTCCGTAATACCGGTACGCGACAGAGCCCTCGTTCGTTCGGCTCCATTATCGGAAGACTTATCTCCGCTCGCTTGATTGGTTCCTTCCGCGACCACGAAGAGGCGACTGCATATCCGCCGCTGCTCGCGGGAGATTCTGTCGGTTGAATTTGCTATTGAATGTCACACCGTTCCCGCCGACACTTGAAAGACCCCGCGGATATTATCTCACGCGATTTGTTTTTCGCTATTATTAATTTCGGTTTAATGCTACTTCCTTGGTCGGATTTTTTGTCATTTGCAAGATTTATTCAAATTTAAAATATTGGTTTTAATTGATATTAATTCAATTGCTTTATCTGTAATATTTTTATCATCTGTGTACACACGTAACCGCGCGCGAAATGACACAGATGTTTGGACATGTTACAAGAAATTCGTAAGGTACGATAAGAAATATAAGATGATATGAGAGAACTAAAATTCTTAATGCAACGCATTATCGTCGCAAAAAGCGAAAGTTCGCAAGTTACGAAGCGCGTTAGTTGTATTGCCGGAAGACGAAGAAAACTACGGATCCGGATGTCTACGTCGGAAAGCAGGAAATCGTATCGTGATCGATAAGCCGTTTTACGCGTAACTTCCGCCGCGGAAAAGAGAACGTTGAGACTTTCAGATATAACGTTTTTGCCAACGTCACATCGTAAGACTTGCAAATTAATCTGTGATTCACTTTATTACTCTATATGTTTTTATAACTTATTTATAAAATTTATTCTTCATTCGCTAAATTACTTATAAAACTTGTGCAGTAATGAATAAAGCGTACAGTCTCTCATTCGCGTTTCTGAATATTAATAATAATTGAGTAATATTTAAATGATAAGAATTTATGGTGTGTAAATTTATAAAAATTAAATTATCTAGCAAGAAAGCAGTAAGAATAGATACTACAAATTTACCAAGTGCTTAGAAAAGTGTAGAAAAAAATCGTGATATTAATAATATGTTGTCTTTTCTTCGTGTTGTATAAAATGTTAGACTATTTTCGCATTAGTTGAAATTATCAATTCAAACATCTATAGAGACCACTTGCTATCAGGATTATCTCTTTGAAACAAGAGAATTGCCGAATAAATGTTCGATCTGATAAAAGTCCAGAATATATCGGCATTTTCTCTAACTCGCGTTTTCGTGTTGGGAAATTTTGGCGTGGACGTAAAAAGCGCGGGGCACGTGGGTTCGGCGCGTAATTTTTCGCAAATATATGCAAATAGTCTCGTGGACGTAGGACAGCCTGTCGAGAGGTTATCGCCGCGGCTGATCTGCTGGGCGACGTCCCCAATTTATGCGAGCGGTGCACGCTCGAAGCTCGCCGGTGTGTTTACGGCGAGGAGATTTACCGGCACCCCAGGGTGAAAACGATCCCGGAACGTTTGTCGGGCAACGGACAAGACGATCCGCTTGCACTCACGAGTGCACGCTTTTCAGCCCCCGCCTCACCCCCGTGTCTCGCAGCCAGAAGATACGATATATGATACGCGCGTTGTATGGACAATTTAATTTCTCTCCCAAAAGCAAGTACCCGCCTTTCAAACGGATGTGTTTCGGACATTGGGCAGTTTTTTAAATAAACGAGTCGAAAAACTCACGAGTTAATTTATAAGTGAAGCTAACGTAAGCAAGCAAGTACTTACGTTACTGTACACATGCAATTGTAGCATGTTGTCAGTAAAGGTGCTCAATTTTAAATTTTAATTTTAAAAACTGCACGTGGCAACTAAATTTCAGTTGTAAAATATAGACAGCTAATAGCTGCGATAGTTATTATTTTGCTACTATGCCTACACAAACCGTTTGCTGTGGTTTAGAAATATATAATTGTGACAGCAAAATATTCCTAGCAAATCATGATTAGCTACGGTAGCGAAAATATTTTTTGCAGTGTGCCAATGTATACATTGATAATTGTTTTTGTAATGATAAATTTTTTCGTCGTTTGACTGTTAATTATCTCTGATTTTTCCATTCATTATCCATTAAATTTTTCACGATTCGTCAATACCGTTTCCTTTTATCGCGTATGTAGATTTAATCTTGTTCTACTCAACTTTAATTTAACATTCAATAAAAGATAAGTTAGTTTACTTATTGTTAGCGAAACTTAATTTTTCTACAAAGCACGCTGCAAACTCACAGATGAGCTACTAACGTAATTATCACTTTTATTACTTCGCCACTCGCATGATATAATTTGACGGCAACTTTTTCAATTGCATTCAGTTACACGATTTAAATCTTAATCAACGTAAATTCTCTCTAGGCGCCGATTCCGTTGGCATATAATGAATTCGTTCAGGTCGCCGGGGCGACGTCGGAGCGACGTTCCCCGACGCGCAGTGCACGCGCGTTTCAGGCACGATCGGTTCGTCAAAATCAAAAGGTGGTCCCGTCAGGAAGTAATCCGCCGTGCAAAAGCAAATTGAAACGCCGAAACGTGCCGCATGTAGATTAGACCAACTGGTTACCAGTGCGTCCCCTTTCGTCCCGTTCGTATGTGGACGCGTCAGGCCGAAGGCGGCGGTACACGACCAACTCTGGATTGAAGAGACACGTGACATTGAAGACTATGAATAGCAAGGGACGAGGCCCCTTTGGCGAATCAATAGTCATTCGAAGGTGGTCTCACGCGCGGACCGAGCATAAAGGGTGCACCTAAAAACGGTGTAGGATTGGTGACGCGTTAGCTCTGCGTGAATTTCAAATTATTTCTTTACAATTTCAGACCGTTATATTTTTGTACAATATATTAGTTAAAGGAAAAAGAATGTCATTTTTAAATTACCGCTGCGTGTACAGGATCGCGGATGTACCTAAGTGGACTAGGAGCCATTTAGAGACGAGAGGGAATATATAAAGCCATTTTATTAAAATAGATTTATTTATTAACACAAGAAAGTGACGCTTAATAATCTTTATTGACTAAATAAAGTTGATCGAAGTTGAAAGATGGAAATAACGTATACAATGTATTAAAATTTCATAGTGACTTGTTCGAGGGAAAAGATGGAGAAGCGGTCGACGCTCGCTGCTCGGAGGACATCGATCCTTCATCGCGCGAGACGAGCGTTGAATTTCTTCCGCTATGGAAAGTACACCGCCGGCAGATTGGATGCGACGTCGTTCTGCTTTTCTTTTGCCGACAGCGCCGCTGTATGTACTTACTTAACTCGGTCATTGTCTTCTAAAAAATATGATTGATCGCGAGCCACCCCCACAACGGGACGGAGCCGGTTAGATACACATACTGAGACCATGAGGTTTGCGCACCCTCTCTGCACGTGTGACTACACACGTGCGTCCGAGTACACATACGGATATGCATTTGTGGGGAAAAAAAGAAAACCGAGCGAACACACACACACAGCTTCCACGGTAGAGCGTTGCATGGCGCGTATGAACGACGGTTTGTCAGCCGTACTTACCTTGTTTTTCTATCGTCGTGGACGCGACGTGCATTCCTTCCATTATTTTCGAATATCCGCGTTAAAAGCCACTCTCCGAGTGTCCAATCCCCTCATTTCTGCGTCCCTCTCTTCGTCGTTATGCATGCAGCCTCATTTTCCGCTCGGCTGAAACGCTCCTAATCGATCTTTTTTTTTGCGCGCCAGCCCTCTCGCGTTGATATGGCAGTTGGTTGGGAATCATTCGTTTATACAGCGAGCCGACCACGATTCGTTTCGAATCCACCGTGCGCGGCAGAAGCCGGCGATATCGGAGAGACTGTGGCCTGAAAGCGTTCCGCAGGAATTGGAAAGATTGATAAGCGTTAATCCACGTTCGTCCGTTTTTTCGAATCTACTTTTCGCATTATTTGTACTTACCTTGTTAATACGACAGTTTCCAATCATTCTATATCTATATTAAGGCAATGAATGACGAAGGGTTTACACACATTTACATATATAATTCAACAAACCTTAATTTTAAACCTCTTTAGAAATCTGATGTTAAATTTCAATCTGTTTATACACTTTAATGAGATGAATATCTAAAAGATTTTACGATTTTAGTAATTTTACTATGCGAACTTTTACAATTAAAATTGTCAAATCGTTAGTCTTGAAATGAAATTTGCAGACAACATTTCGTGTATGAAGTTAATAACTTACGGAATAGATACATTAAATAATAATATAAAATTGGTAGGTACAAGAGTGAATGTAAGGGAAAGACATTTTGCGAAACACATACGAGCGTTTCCTTTGCCATGGTATCACGCGTCCTTATTTCGTCGCGCAACAAAAGTGGCGTGACGAGGGGAATACATGGAACAAAGAGGAACGTAATGAAATGGGTCCGAGAGTTGAAGTTTGACGCTGCAGTAGCGATTGCAAGGATGGGCGAGACCAGCATCTCTGCACCTTTGAAAGTGTCTAGTCGCGGAATCCAGCCGTGGTTCCTACGACCTTTGTTTCCGCACATCTGATAAGTACCCTTCGTTTTATTCTTCGTCTCCACTATAGACCTCTAGTTCTTTCGAGCGAAGTCTACGAGGACAGATAGACAGATGGATAGGTGAAGCGAAAGGAAAGGGGCGAGGAGCAGGGGGTGGGAAGGAATTAATGGCCATGGCGAAAAGAACGGACGAGTTTGCCTCGTGAAAGGCACGATCCGGTAATTAACGTCGACGAAACGACCCATCCTCCTCCCTTTCCTACTGCGTCTCCTCATCCCCTGTCTTTCGACACCCCGCACGGTTCAGCCACCCTCACGCACGGCGCGTATAAGTTCCACCGATTCGTTGGACTCACGCCCGACGACGATGATGGACATATCGCTCCCGAGCAGGCCGACCCTCGTCGAATCGACGTGACAGAGCGGGCGGCATTTCGCGCGACTTTAATGCTCACGCAGATCGACGCCGGCCACGCATGACGCTGCAACAATGGCGAGCCGGCAGATAACTGTAGATTTCGGGAGAATTGCGAGGTGACAGTTCATTTTTGCTGTCGAATGACAGGCTTTCGTTACATCTCGTTGGAACCAGTCTTTTTCGTCGTCGTTTTTTATATATTAAGATAGACTCTTATTTCTCCCAGGTATTCATTTAACAGAGAACGATTTGCATTTTTTTAAATAATTTTCTGGAAGTGGTAAAAAAACGAAGGAGTTGTTCGAAAATTTTTAAGCAAATTTGATGATGCCTAAATTATGACTAATCATGAAAGTGTTTGAAATAATTATCTTTTTATTATATTTGATTTCTCTTAAATTTTTCTGAAACTTTCTGTGGTTTTCAGAATTTCATTTCTTAATGAAACTATGTATGAGACATATTATATATTAATTTTGTTTCTATGTGCGCGAAAAATCGACAGCAACGAACGTAGAATTTTCTCCAGTCATTTTTATATATTTAATATGCCTCTGTCTCACTTATAATATATTCATTTATTCACATACTTATTTATTCATACTTATTTACAAAATCAATACACTTTCGGCTATATGTCATATGTTGCGTTGCGTACTTTATTCGCTTTAATAAATGCTCGTCCTCTCTGTGGGAATAATGAACAGTAGGACGATGAGACCGATGAATTTGTGAAATTCTGCGACAGTGAAATAGAATGATTAATTATTCGGCGGTTAATCAGCCTCCGCTCTCAATATACATTTTTGGGAAAATGCCCCACAAAGCAAATCGCACTCGTCATTCATGAGCCCGTGTTCAACTTATTTCGATGTTTCGGATATATGTTTACAATTTCTTAACCGAGCAGAATATATTTACATTGTATAGCAGAAATAATTTATTCGTCTAACTTAAAATTTAACTGGGCTACCTAATAAGATTTTGGGCAAATAAAAAATTTTTTTAATTATGTTTAACTAAAATATACAAAGGAGTTACTTTTTTAAAATAAAAAGTAGTTGCTTTGTATCATCTAAAATTTCATACAAAAGCAAAAATCTCTTTCGGTGCAGGTACCATTTGTTACATTTTTTGTATATTAATGGAATACAAATACCTGTTAAAAACTTTTCAAATTTTATTTAAATAATTTTTATGAAAACCGAATTCTAACATTTAGAACGCAGATAAAAGCTGTTTTAAAATAACACGTTGTCGGGAATAAACCACTAAAAAATATGTGACATTGTAATTTGTGTAAACAGTAAAATTATGAATTTATAATAATTATGTGCGTTATAACGCATTGTGTGTTACACGCGTCTAATTATTCTTTAAGAAAATTAAGAATGCAAATATTTAAAATGTGCATGATGCTTCTACCAAGTTTTTTCTAACAATATTGTTTTATTAAAAAAAAGAATGTAAAAGTTTTAAATTCTCTAGTGAAAAGAGATTCGACTTTTCAAATTATTTATAAAGATTTAAAGTGAATTTTATTAATTTTATTATAAATCGGTTTATAGTTTAATCAATTTCCAATATTTTACGGTATCTTAACATAAAAATTGTTTAAATATAACATAATTCAATTTGTTTCAACGCTTTACGCAAACTTGCCAGCCAAACAGCCATATTCGTGTACGTAGGAGATAAAACGGGAGAAACAGTCGCTTTTTATGACACACTCTCGACATAGATTTAAAAGTAATTTGCCTCGCGAGCAGTCATTCTGGCTGCTCATCCCACGATAAACTGTTTCAAATCGTCTGTCATCGTTCGACGTGGAATCTGACTTGTTTTCTACGCTTCGTAATCGTAACATTTTCCGACTTACGAAAGGGAAGACTCGTGCTTTCGTGCTTTTATATTGGTGTGTGCTTCCTCCAGACAATAAAAGTCAGTGTGTATGGTATGTGTGTGTTTTACGAGGTCGCATCCATGAAAAAAAGCGAGCTATCGAATCCAACTATCGAATCCGTGTCTCGCCTTTACGCTTTTCACCGACGGAATTTCCTCGCGACTATTGTGAATTTATCACAACGTGAAAAACTGAAAATTAAATTCGAAAGATATAAAGTTAATTATATTAACTTGTCATAAAACGTACGGTAAATTTTAAAATGTAGTCATTGCTTGAACGTTTTAATCGATCTATATTTATAAATGTGCAGTATATATTTTCACTGATACGCGCATGTTAGTTTAAAACTTTGATTTTTATTGCATAACTTATGTAATTCCGTTTGCAGTTACATATTTAAGGCACACATTATTTCATCATAGTACAATGATTTTAGGAATTTATCTTTCTTAAAAATGTTATAAAGTATCGAGTACTTTTAACTTTAAGCTTTTCAACTTTGAAAAGATTATCGAAATTTTTCTTTTCCTTTTGCAATTAAACGGTAAATACTTATTGCTCAGATAAATAAATGAACTTTCGCTTCTTGAATTTCTAATTTATGCTGCATTTATCAAAATATTTAGCTCTGAATTACAGAAAGCTAGACAACACGTAATGGCTTGTTTAGAAAGTCCTATTAAAATAAAAAGTACCTACACGGATCAAATAAACAATAATTGTTACTAAGTTGATAAATTTTTATCGTAACAATCACTCTAATTTTGCCTTGAGTGTCTTGTACATGTGCTATAGGTATATGCTACGGGTCTGTCTGCCGATTACACGTGGCGTGATAATATGAGAACATCACAAATCCATCTCCAGCCAAAGAGAGACCCTGCTTGAAATACTCCCCGCGTATAGCATCAATCGCGGATATTGCATCATCTCCATCTGGCCATAAAATCTGCCGTACCTCGTTAGCCACGCTTGTTACGTTCCGCACCCCAAATTTATCCCCGCCGCTGCGCGGGCTGAAACGAGCCCACACCGTGCGTAATGTTAGCCACCCCTAATTATTGCGAACGCGACTTTACAAGTGTCTCAACCTCGACATTGTGGTTAAAAAACAGATTTGCCTATTGTTTAATGTAACGTATTAATCAGCGTCGATTCTCTTTGTGTGGTACAATTTTAATTGGCTCTTTGATCCAAGCAACATAAGAGCAGGTAGCACAAAGTGAATAGATTGATTTATATTTTATTGAAAAAATATACTCAGGATAAAATACAAATAAAACAAAAATAGCTTCTATACATGTAATACATGTGTAAATTAAAATAATTGTTTATTTTAAAAACTTTAATCTGACATTTAAGTTCTAAATAAAATGTCTGTTAAACTAAATTGTAATTTAAAAATATAATTAAATTTTATAAAGGTAATTATTTATCAATTTTAAATTGAATATGTATAAGAAACTATTAATAAAATAACAGTTCTTTTAACTTCTTTGAATATGGAAGTTGTTGCTAATTGTAAAAATTATTTATTGCATTTACCGGAAGAAAAGAGCAAATGGTAAAATAAACTTTGAAAAAAGCGACGAATTTTCAGCGACCCGGAATATACT